ATGTGTTTACTTTTTGAGACATTAATATTCATGAGCCAGTCGGTGCACCAAGTTCCGATCCTGTCAAGGTCATTTTGCAATATTAAATGATCGGATGTATCGGATATCTTTCTGTATATGACACAATCATCAGCGAAAAGCCTAATGGTGGACGTTAATGAAGAAGGAAGGTCATTTACATATATTAAACACTTTCATTGTTTTAATTTTTTAGTGTTAAGTGTCATGGACCACGGCTTGCACCAATCAAGAACAGCATTTAAGTCGTTTTAAAGAAGGAGAGAGTCAGAATCATTAGTAATCTTACGATAAATAACGCAGTCATCCGCGAACAAACTAAGCGATGATGAGACACTAAACGGCAAGTCATTGATGTATATGAGGAATAACAAAGGACCGAGAACGGAGCCTTGAGGGACGCCAGAAGTAACAGAAGACAGTGAAGAATTAGAGTTATTTACATGAAAAAACTAAGAACGATTTGTAAGGAAACACTCAATCCAAGTTAGTATCTCAGGGTCAGGGTTAAGTTTGCTAAGCTTGAAGAGTAGTAGTTGGTGAGAAACTTTATCAAATTCTTTGCAGAAATCAACAAAAATACAGTTAACCTGGGATCTATGCTCAAGTAATGAAAATAAATTGTTAGTAAAGACGAGAAGTTGTGTTTCACAAGAAAAACATTTACAAAAGCCATGCTGTGAGGACGAGAAAAAAGAGTTGGATTCGAGATATTTAACAAGATGTGAATAAATAATATGCTCTAACATTTTACAAAGAGTAACGTTTATGGAAATGGGTCTATTAGCGGCGAGATGCTTTGGTGGCGCCCTCCTATGGTTCCCCCTTGTGACGTCATTAGCTTGAGAACAACAAGTTCGATGGTGTTTGTAAATAGCATGGTGGAAGCCTGAAATCATTGCGCTCTCAAAGCAACACTGCCAACACCGTCGAAATTAAAGTTCTTTTATTCCTCTTATTTCCGTCGATGGTATACCCTTTCCGAGAGTTCGGATCGAGATCGCCTTTCACGGCATCCCGCCTTCGCACCGCCGCTCTCTTGATAATTTTTCGGGTGGCTCCCTGACCGTCGTTGTGCGCCCAGATCAACTGCTCGCAAACACAAGCCTGGGAAGTAGACATCCCTCGCCGACACCACAAGACGACCAACGGAACAGCGACTGCTCCCACGATCAGCCCCTGGGAGGACGGAGGGTATCCTCCGGCCTCCCATACTCATGCTCTCACCGGCGTCGCAATTTCGGGCTGCCGTCGCCATGGCTACGCCCCCAATTGTGATTGCGGAAAACGACACCAGTGCGAACACAACGGCAGCCGGTCATCTCGACAACTGTCAACAACCTGCGGAAGCAGGGACAAGTGGCAAGCTCGTGGACGGCAGCAAAGGAAATCATGACAACTCAACTTCCAACGACACTTCTGACTCTGACATGACTACATCAGGCCCAGAGGACCAGGATGACGAGGACTTCATTTCTGTGAAGACAGGACGCAAACGGAAGCGCAAGATCGAGAGCGCCAGTGATGAGGAAAGCAGAAAGAAGGCCATCGTTTCACTCGGTCTGACGGTCATCTTCGCACCGCAAGACCCGACGATACTTCTGAACAAGCTCAACGGCCTGAAGCTCACGGAGGCTCTAAATAGTCACGCCCCTACCGAAGTTGGTGAAATTCGCTGCAACAAGAGATTGAACATACTCGCGGTGGACACACGAAATCAAGAATCCACAGCGTCCTTGCTGCGAATCAGGAAGCTCGTCGGCATTGCAGTGCGGGCATACGAGCCTCGGAATCCGAACACTGCTGTGGGCATTATTCGGGACGTTGACGCAAGCATCTCGGAGAAAGTGTTGCTTCGGAACCTAAGCGCGAACATGACGAAAATCACGCAGGTGCGTCGTTTTGCTGACACGGAAACGGTTCGCGTCACTTTCACTTCTGCGACCCTACCGGAACACGTATTTCTGGGCAGAGTACGACATAAGGTCGAACTATACGTTGATCGACCAGCGCAGTGCAGGAAGTGTGGCAAGTTTGGACACGTCAAGGCAGTTTGCACTCGCCCCGAGGTGTGCACCAGATGCTCTGGCTCCCACGCGAGCGAAAGATGCGAAGCCGAAAGGGCCAAGTGCGTGAACTGCAAGGGCGCACATGAGGCAACCTCGAAAGACTGTGTGATCTGGCAACAAGAACGAGCCGTAAACAAGTACAAAACAATTAACAAAGTAGACTTCAAAACTGCTCGAGCTGCCGTCCGAAGCCGCGGCCAGCGCAACATCGAACACGACAACTTGATCGTTCTTCAGAACCGTTTCAGTGACCTTTATGATGAGACGCAGGACCTCCCCCCCGAGCAGAGCAACGCATCACAGAGTGAAACACGGAGTTCGCACCCTGCACGGCGTGCATCATCAAACCCTGAATCAGTCTCTCGGGAACAAGGTGCATCGAGAGAACAGCACGTGGAGCCTCCAAATAGCATTAGAGAGCAAGGCACATCCCAACATTCATCGCAGCGCACAGCACAGCGGAATTCATACAGTCATGCGCTCCGCACTGCCTCTGCTCAAGCACAATCACAGCCAACCAGCAACCGTAAAACCTCCCGAAGCGCGACCGGCAACGAACAGCCCAGCCTGATATCCTCACTGGGAACCCTTGCACGAACTGTAATGCCAGTGGTCACGGAACTTCTGAAGCCGTTTGACTCTCCTGTGGTGCGAGCGATTCTCCAAATAATCACACTGATTCAGCAATGGCTCTGCGATGGAGCTTGCTAGGCATCAAACTTCCACAAATGAGTTACCTACAGCACACGCAACGAGCACCACAGGTATCGTACTTCAAGAGCACGCTAGTGAACGACGTCTAGACTCTGTAGAAGAACTTTTTATGCATCAAATATACCGCGAATGCACTGTGCTCCACTGGAACGTGCGCGGCCTACGAAACAAACTGCCTGATATACGGGACTTTGTACAAAAGTATGAAACGCCCATTGCAATCTTTATCGAATCAAATGCATCTTCAACGCTCCGCATATCCGGATACGAGTGCCATCATTCCGTTCCTGATCGGGAAAAAAGTCGTATCACCGTGTGTGTGCGCACAGACATTTCAGTTGCAAGGAAAGAAGTCTCCCTTCACACTACAGCCGATTACGTGTGTCTCAAGCTTCAGTACAAAAAAATATCCTTCACAATCATCGCGATCTACATTCCGCCAAGAGTGCATTTCTCAGGCGAGGAAATTCAGGCCGTGCTGCAGGAAATTGATGGACCTTTTCTTCTTTGTGGCGATGTCAACGCACACAACCCGCTGTGGGGCGGAGATAAACTTGATGCGAGAGGAAGACTCCTAGAAGACATTTTCAGCTATTGGAACATGGGGGTCCTTAATGATGGAACATACACTTTTCTTCGGGGAGAGCTCAGGAGCGCCTTTGATATCACTGCGGTTTCTGAGGACTTCCGTCTTCCCGTCCGATGGATGACAGCTCTTGACACCAGGGGCAGCGACCACCTGCCTCTACTCGTCTCCCTCGACGGCTTTGGAGGAAGAAGGCACAACCGGACAATTCCATATACAGACTGGAGTCGTTTCGGAAACGAAACAGAGTCAGCATATAAAAATGGTGCAGGAGATACAGACATCACTGCCCGCATAACATCATCATTGACATCCAGCACGAAAATGGTGAAACTCCCCGCCAAATACCTTGCGATCGACGCAGATTATGAGAAGTTGCGAGCGGTTCGACGTCGTGCTGAACGACGTGCCAGGCGAACTGGTAAAGCCGCGGACTGGGTGGAAGCATGACGAACCCTGGCGGTCGTACGACGACACTTAATTCGACTCTCTATGCGATGTTGGAGAGGTACCTGCGGTTCAATGGACCTTCACAAGCCGTCAACGAGACTATGGAACGTGACCCGAGGGCTCAAGAAAACACCCAGGCAGAAGTTTCCCTTCCGAGCCTTGGCACTTTCAAAAGGAATCACTGAGCATGCTGCAGCCAATGCGTTCTGCCAGCTCCAGCAGCGGCGCCCTGCGAGCGGTTTGTCACACGAGAAAACCACAGAAGCCGCCGTGCTACCGGAGCTAGACGAGGCTTTTACCATGAGGGAACTCAAAAGTGCTCTACAGGAGTGTTCCCAACACACCTCTCCAGGCCCGGATGGTGTTACATACAAGGCACTAGCCAATCTGGGACCCCTCGCCCTCGGTGCCCTCCTGCAACAATACAACGTCAGTTGGAACACAGGACAGCTCCCAGAGTCATGGAAGAAGTCTCGCCTCGTTCCCATCCTGAAAGCAGGAAAATCGCCTCTGTCGCTTGAGTCATACCGCCCCATTGCGCTCTCCAGCTGCATTGGGCAGTTGATGGAGCGTATGATCCTAAACCGTCTGCTCTGGTACCTCGAAAAGACAGGGGTCTTCCCCGAGTGCATGTCGGGGTTTCGTCGTGGCCGTTCTGCCATTGACGGCGTCGTGGACTTAAGGGCCGTTTATACTCCGACGTTGAGCGCAGTGAACGCAGCGTAGTGCAGAACGCGCGCCTTTCATTGGCCAGCAACCAGGAACTCGATATCTGCGTCCCATCAGAATCTGTGCGCGCTGCGCTACGCCGCGCCCGTCGACGTTACGTTGGAGTATAAACGTACCTTTAGTCTCAGAAGTTTGAACAGCATCGGAGCCGTCGTCTCTCCACGGTAGCTGTGTTTCTGGACATAAAGGCTGCTTTCGACAGCGTGGAACACTCAGCAATACTCACGTCCCTCATTAAACTTCGCGTACGTGGTCGAATCTACAACTGGATCTTGGATTACCTTCAAGGACGCACAATTTACCTAACCACGACAGAAGGAAACAGTGACTGTTTCTCCGTAACTGCCGGCGTTCCACAGGGGGGCGTCTTGAGCCCCACATTCTTTAACGTCGTCCTGGCCCACCTGCCGCAGGAACTTTCAGAGCATGTAAAGATGTCGATGTATGCCGATGATCTGTGTATCTGGTATTCGGGCCCGAACCGCACAGTAATCTGTGGAAGGCTCCAGAAAGCACTCAGCAGAATCGAAAGATACCTGAACTGCAGAGGCCTACACCCGTCGCCCAGCAAATGCGTCGCTATGGCTTTCACCAGGCGAAGTTGCAAGCGCTTTCCCATACACATAGGAGAGCAAATTATCCCCTACGTCAACAAGCACACCTTTCTTGGATTAGTTATCGACAAGCGGCTCACCTGGGCACCTGAAATGAACAGACTTCGATGCAAGGTCAACTCGTACGTGAACATCATGCGCTGTCTTTCTGGCTCGAAATGGGGAAATTCAGCCGCCCTCATGCAGCTACACAAATCAATGGTACTGGGAAGTCTGCGCTACAGTCTGCCTTTACTGCACCGGGTCAGTTCAACAACCCAACGGGGACTCTTGGCACAGCAGGCAAGAAGCCTCCGCGTTGTGCTGGGAGTGCCCCGAGCGTCGCCTTCTGCAGGAGTTATAGCAGAAGCGCACGAACAACGTATAGAGGCGCTCCGTGTTCAAGAGACCCTCCGGCACTACAGTCGTTTTTCAACCCAGCACGAAGCGCATCATCTGGCGGGCCTGCACATTTCACGTCCAGCGTCGAGTTTTGCAGAAGTGGTAAGAAACCACGTCGAAGCCTTTCCGGCGAACGCTGCACCGTATCGTCACCCCCAGCGAGCACCTTGGACATGGCTGACCCCAACGGTCCACCTCTCAATACCGGACGTAGGCAAAGGCACAGCCTTCGGTTTTGTGAAGCGGCTCCTCACTCAATATTACATTGAAGAGAACTACAAGAACGCCATCCAGATATACACAGATGGATCAAGCACTGCGATGAGCTCGTCCTCTGCAATCTACGTGCCGGATGCGAGCATTTCGGAAGGGTACAAACTCTCCCACCGTACATCGTCCACGGCATCCGAGCTCCACGGCATCTTGCAAGCGTTACACTACATAGAGGCAACTTCTCCGAAGAGCTATGTGGTGTGCACGGACTCAAAATCGGCGTTGGCATCCCTATCAACCACAGCCAAAAAGTGCGCATACCCGGGCCTGCAACAGGCTATACTCGATAAGAACGACACCCTGCACAAAAAGGGGTATGCCATTACATATCAATGGGTCCCAGGACATGTTGGCGTCACTGGCAACGAGATAGCCGATATGACAGCAGCTCGGGCGCACAAAAACGAAAGAACAGAGGCCATTCCCGTTGCGAAAGCTGATGTGAAGAGCTTTCTCTCTGGTGTCGCAAACCAGATAACGGTAAAAATCTGGGAGCAACCTGAGGGCCACCCTTATCACCTGTACAACTTGGACCCCAAGCTTCAAAAAAGAATCCCTTGGAGCACACCTCGAAACCAACTTTCAGTTTATTTTAAACTTCGCCTTGGGGTCGCCCGGACTGGCCGCCAACGCTACAAGTACAAGCAGCGAGATTTCCCAAACTGCGCGACTTGCCATACCGAGGACACAATCGAACATGTACTCGTTAACTGCAAACGATACGAGAAAGAGCGTGTGATCCTCACTAAGGAACTGAATCTTCTGGATGACCAACCAATGACCATGCGAAAGGTGCTAGGACCCTGCACCAACACTCGAAACCAAGCACGGGCGTTTAAAATACTGATGGATTACTTAGAATCAACTGGTTTGCTGCAAACACTGTAGACGCAGAAGGACGCTCAAGAAGGTCGCTATCTATAACAGAAACAGAGTAGCAAGAGGGGGCAAATAAGCCCTAGCTAACATCTCTGTCGCTCGATGAACCAAAATAGCAAATAAAAAAAAAAAACCTTTCCGACGTCATAGTCAGCTTTTGGGCCAATCGTGGAAGGCCGACCACAGCGACGGTTTCGGTCGCACACGTCGCCAATAACTGTCGGGGCAGTGTTTGTCGCCTGATTTATGAAGTGGAACCACCTTGCCAGTTTTCCAATCTTCAGGAAGGACACCAGTAAAAATATATTGCTCAAAAATCATAGTAAGAAAAATTGCATGTAAATTTTAGTATTCTTTAGAAACTTAGTGTTAATATAATCAATACCACATGATGAGGACACCTTGAGGTTGTCAATCAGCTTAACAATGCGATCAAAATTAAATACAAGCGGGTTCATAGGAAAGAAATCATGATTAGGGTAAGTAACAATAGAACAGCTTACATCCCTACAAAACGATTGTACAAACACCACATTGAGGACTTTTGCAGAGTAATCGTTAGACATAACGATGCCATCAGAGTCATAAAGCAAAATAACCTTGTCTTTCTTGCCATTAATAACGCTCCAAAACATTTTGACATTAGTTGATAACAGACGGAGCAAGGTATGGTTGAAAGCTTGTTTAGCGTCCTTGATTGCATTTCTGTATAAATTTTCTGCGTTGTGGTAAACCGCCCAGCGCTCAACCGTGTCTGTACGCTTAGCAGTGCGGAACAGGCGTTTCTTTTTATTTAAAAGTCTTTTCAAAGCATTGTTAAACCATGGGGACGTGGAGCTATTAGTAAGAAACCGACGTGGGACGAAAGAATTCATAAGGGAATCGACTTTATTTTTGAACATTGTCCAATTAACCTCGACAGAGCATTAAAAAACATGGGATAGGAAAAAGTCAAGGAATTGCGCCAACTCGCTGTTTATAGCCTCAAAATCAGCTTTGCCATAATCAAGAAAAGAGTTATTCTTCGCTTTTGAAAGGCAGATACAGGAGCGCTTAGGTAAAAGGGAAGTAAACAGTGACCGCTGATGGCAGGTAATTACGTAAGAGAGGATGCAAGATCAGGCGCAGTAGAAAGAATAAGGTCCAGCACGTTCTCAGAAGTTGCCGTAACACGAGTCGGCCTAGTAACTATCTGCGTTAACGAAAAATCGGAGCAGAGACTTAAAAACTCAAACACGCTGCAGAATTTGAAGATATGGTAGGATATAGACCAGACCAGTCAATGCCGGGGAGATTAAAATCGCCCAAAACAAGCAAAGTCAAGGCAGGAAACCTTGTACGAATTGTATTCAAAGCATCGTGTAAATCTATAAAAGCAATCCGTCATTCACACGATTCCTTGTAGTATTCCTTTTCATCATCATAAGAAGCGGCGCCGCAGACCTTCAAGGCATGGGCGACCTGCTTTTCTCCGGTGGTGCAGATCTTCTCAGCGAAAAGAAATATATCATATAATATTATAACTAAGAAAGTTTTTTTTTTTTTGCGCCGTTCCGGACGACGAGGACGACGACGACGTCAACGACGTCGACAAAAAAACACAAAAAAAACACAAATGTATTATTGTGTTATGTTAGCACATAGCCTCCTCTACACTCAAAAATCTTGGGAGTTCGGCGACGGGGCCATAAAGTGCCCGGTCACAGATTTCGAGCGCGAGCATCTGGTGCTCAGAGCATGAAAGAGCCATTTCTTGGGGAACTCATAGCCGTTTATACTGAAAGACTTCAGCCAATAGGCGGAACTTGTTGCCCGCTAGAACCAGCGGATTGCGCGATAGCAGAAAATGGTGTTACTTCTTTGTCTTCTTTATTCCTGAGGAATCGCATAGAGTTCCTGTGAGTCAGAGCCCCGAAATGGCGGACGGAAATAGTCATCCCCCGGTTGTCAGACTCATAGAGTTATTATAATGTACGCTAGAGGTTCAACTGGCGCTAGTGTGCTGCTGCAAATTGAAGCAGACAGCAACCAGTCCGAAATTGACTTCCGGTAATGCATTGCTATGGGAAAAAGCGGGTGCATTTTCTCGCTGCGCTCGATTATAAGAGCAAATATCACGAAAAATTCGTACGTACTAGGTAGCTTGGAACTTTTCTCAGTCACGCAGACGAAATAATTGGTCAGTTACAGCGTTTTCATTTGAAATTCGTGACACGAAAAACGATGCTAAAACCGCTTCGTACGTGTATTTATGTGCACTGTCGGACACTGTTAGCGCGAACACGGCGTCGGCACTTTTCAACATGAGGGACATACGTGCCAAACGAGCGAAGGACATGTGGAAAACCAAGAGAGACGGCAAGAACTACACAGTAACACTGGATAAGTAACTCTTTGTGCATGCAGACGATCAAATAAATTGAAAGTCACGTACTATAGTCAGATTTGTAATAAATAAGTACTGCTTTCTTCTTTCTGCTCATGAATATGTGCAAAGATGCATGTTCTGGGTTCAAATCATCACCCGCAGGCTCCAGATCTTTGCAAATGGGGAGAAGCCAGAGAACAGGTGCCCGATTAAAACTGCCCGACATAGGAAATAATAAAAAGACACACCTCTCGTGGCCCACATGCTTTATTTTTTTAGCAGACTGTAAAGATGCACGACGGAGTCTTCATATAGTGACAGAAAGGACATATTAGCAATATATAAGCGCCACCAAAATGCTATTGAACCTTAAACGCACTCTACATTCCTTTCGATTGTTATTTTGCTTAGAATCGTCGCTTGTTTTTACACACCGTCTGTTGAACAGAGGTTTGAGCCTGAAATAGAGCGAAGTTTAACGTCGTTCAGTGGTAAAGAAAAATGTTGTAACTCAATCAATTACACTTTCACAATATCAATAAAGGTACATACTATCCGGTACAACCGAAATAACAAAAGTTATTCGTGTTATTTTACGGCGAATAGACAAAATTCACGTGCGTATTCCCATAGGAATGCACAGGAGCACCGCAAAAGTAGACTGGTTGCTGTCTGCTTCAATTTGCCTCCCGGAAGTCGCATAGACACTAGCGCCAGTTGAACCTCTAGCGTACATTATAATAACTCTATGGTCAGACTACGCTGCACTGGTTGCCAGGCTGTCAAAATATCTTTAAAAAGGCCAAACTCTCTCAGTATAAACGGCTCTGGGGGAACCTGGACGTCATCGCACAGTTTTTGTAGCGGCAAGGACCCGAAACACACTTTCGAGTCCTCGCGTCTCGCCGCAATGTCTCGCGGCAGCGGCAAAACGCGTTTCGGCGTCTCGCCGCAGCGGGGCGCCAGTCACGTGGCTCTCCTCTCATACGCTGTCTGCCGCTCCACCTTTTCCATTTCGGCAGCCACTTCTTGAGGCGATGTGCGAGGCTTTGACAGTTTGTAGGAGGCTATGGTTAGCCAGATGTCCAAAATCAGCATAGTCTTAGTTTCAAAAGTATTTTCAGGAGCGCTTATCGTAGGCGATACTTAGTCGCGGAGCAAACAGCATCCGAATCGCATCGTCTGTATTTTTGTTTTCTCTTTTTTATAGGTGCAGAGGAAGAAGGCAAAAATACAAGCCAAAGTTGATGGTCAGCGCGCGTTATAGGTTCCTTTTTGACGGTGTGCTCTAAGTGTGTTAGTCATCTTTTGCGCTGTTCCCTTTACGTGACGTATCTCAGTGTCGACAGCAGCGCCAGCGCTTCGTCCTTAGCGGCTACTCCTCCTCTCGCGTGCCGATGCTCACATCTCCCCTTCCAGCCACCGTAACCATGTTTGTTCCATACCGCACAAGCAGTACCCGATTAAAAAATTTCCTTTTGTATGTGAAATTTCTGTGCCTAATAAACACATATGAATCATACAAGATGTATAAGAACATGTAAGAACCATATAAGAACTGTATAAGAACTATATAACTTATATAAGAACCATAAAATAAACTTGCAAAAAGTTTCTTATAAATTTTTTATATTTTTTTTTATTTGTTCTTATATATCTCATATAGTTCTTATGTAGTTCTTATATGGTTCTTTGTTTTTATATATCTTGTATGATTCATGTGTTTATTGGACACAAATATTTCTCATACAAATGATTTTTCCACTTGGGTGGCTCAAGAGAGCCTGGAAGTAGAAAAAAATAGTCAGTACCCAGCAATGGCGACACCTGCCAGTAACATCATGCTGGTGGTCATTCGCATTTTTTTCTTACGCTGCAAAAGGTACCTACTCAGCAGCATGGCTACTGCAACGGTAGCTGTTGGGACATCAGTGCAAGCTATAAGAACAGTGCGCTCCTGTCTGCGGTGTCGCTCGCGCTTATGGTGAAATAGAGCTATAATATCCTAGTCCACCATAATAAACCTATTCGTAAATAACCCAAGCCTCAAGGAGAATGCAGGAAATGGTATTCAACGCGCCGCACGCGCACGTCCTCCCTGTATAAAAGATTCGAAGTAAATAACCAAAACAAAGTTTTGATGAACGCGCGAGCAAGATGCCATTTGTTTTGGCTGTTGCTTTAGAATAGACTAGGGTGCCTTCATGTGCGCTTTGCTTAGGGTGGTGGCAACTCGCCATTTTGTCCCACACGTTTATGTTTATTTTTTGTTCAGAAGCGCGTGAAAGAGCGTGTCCCTGCACGCGCCTGTGGAGCTGACTGTGCTATGGCGACATTTTGTTTTCGTCGATTTCTTTGTATTTTCCCTGCGAGCGCGTGTTGTCGGCATCGGGTACTACAAAGGGTGGCATCACCCTAAACAGAAGGACATTGAGGCACACTAGAATAGACCCCTTTCAAAAGTATGCCAACACTAAAAAAATCTTGGCAGCAAAAGAAAAACATCTAGCAACACTGGGCGACCACCGCCATCGACAGCGTTTGTCGCGTTCGGTACGTTCGTCGTGCCGCTCCTCCGTTGACATACGTTTCGTATTTGAGTCGCGTACTCGTTGTGCTCTCTGTGCTATCAATGCTGGAG